AAATAAAAATATAAATATTTAAAAAGTTAAAGAACAACGTGAAAATAAAAGTTTAGATATAAATAAATTATTTTTTTAATAAAAATTTTAAAAGATAAAATAATTCAAATTAAATAGATAAAAAATAGTTAGAAAAAAAGTTATTTCTTTTATTTATTGTTATAAATATGCGTTTTTCTTGTTTTCCGTACAAGAAATATGACATCAATGTTAGATAGGTTATAAATTTTATAAACATAAAATGTGGAAGTATGTCATATTTGACACCAATGTTCTCAAATATTAATTATTTTCCTCTTCTTTTTCTATTTTATTGAGGCAACTTTTTCTTTCAAGTAATGTAAGATTTTTATTCATCAAAGATATTAGAATAACAACATTTGTCTTCTACTATTTTTGTTTGGTTTCTTTTTTACTTATTTAGTTTTAAAAATTTATTTATAACAATAATTTTATATACAAGATAGATAAAATATACTTCAATTGATTTTTTTTCTTTTAAAAAAACTTAAATTGGAACAAGATACGACCGTATGTAAAGACAAAATTAAGTACTATTTTAATTGATATAATTACCAATATTCATCTTAACTAAAATTATTTGATTTATGTTTATTGTTTTTAATTATACATTAATTATTATAATCAATTATTTTAGTTTCTTTTATTAATTATAACAACACTAACTATTTCATTTGTTATATGGTTTTAGCAATTCTTCATTAATTGCTTTTATGTATGTTAAATTTATTCGTACAATTTTAATTCTATTATTAATTGCTTTCAAATAGATTTTTTCATTTTTATGTTAATTTTAATTTTTTTTTAGTTTAGTAGATAAACTATCTATTATGTGAAAATAAATTTAATGCTTAATTACTTTTTTTTATCGATAGTTTCATAAACATTATTATTATTATTATTTCTTATATATAAAAATATTTAATTTTAGTTATTGTATATAATATTTTTACTTTCTTTTAATCTCTATCATCTATTGTTAATTATAGGAACTGAAAGATAAATTTTATAAAACAATAAAACTTAAATAAAACAAAAATAGTATATATATAAACTAAAATATAATGTTTTTAACAATAGAAACTAAAATGTATTCATGAGATTATAGAGATAAAAAGATAATTAAATCCAATGTTAACTATAAATCACTATTATTCATGTGGTAAAATTTTGTAACGTCTGAAAAAATTTTCTAATTCTTAGGTGACCAACTGACCATATACTTAAGAGACATAATTATGTCACATCTTATTGATCACTTATATACTATAATTAAATTGAAAAAATGAAGCCTTCAAATTTTTACATAATTTATAAGATTTTTTTTTCGTCCTATAACATTTCTCAGCCATTTCTTCATAAAAAGACATCTTTGTTTTACGAATTAAAAAAATATTTTCAATATCGTTAACTATATACATAATACTTATGTAATAATTATTAGTTTTGAAAAAATTATTTAAGAGTCAGCTTTCAATCTCTTTGAAAAATTCTGATCCGATTACAGATAATTGTCCCCTATTCTCAATGTAAATTTGAACAAAGGATATAAAGAATAACAACAATTAAATTCAATCTAAAGTTTTAAGTAGTGGTGAATTCAAGAACCTAAATTAGTGGAGAAATTTTTTTAAATAAAAATTAATAATCATCATCATATATACAAAGAATAAAACATAAATGTTGAAAATAATTATTAATGAGTTTAATGTATAAAATCAGGGTGTAATATACAATATTTTTAAATACACACTCATAATTTAATTAAAATGAAGAGATCAAATTTTTACAATATTTTTTTTTACAACTTAACAATTAAGGAGTTTATCTCAATTTAAGCATGGTGCGTCAATTGTTATAAATTTCATTGATATTAAGTTTGATTTTCACAAATAAAAAATTTATCTACAAATGAACATAAAACATGCTTACCATTATGATATATATAAAAATTAAATCATTCATTCAAAGTTAATTTTTTTATTCTATCTTAAATAATATGTTAATAGTGAATTGATTGTTTAATTTTAAAAGTTTAGAGATCAAATTTATAATAAAAAATTTTGAAGACCAAAATTACACTTTACCAAACTACACGAAGAAAAAAAATTTAACCTAAAATTAATTACCACAATATGTTTAGATATTAAATTATCACATTTAACCCGCATAGGATTTTGCTTAGGATTCAAATTAAAAGACCAATAAAATGTTGCATGTGTGGGCAGGTCTGGTACTGTGGTTGGTAACTTTCTGGGCTTATTATGGGCACATTGCGGCCTGCTATTTCAGGGCCTGAAGAAGCCCAACCCACTGGGCTTTACTAGTTAACTACTCTCAACTTTCACTTTCGTGAGTTTCTTCCATTCCACTCCTTATCGGAGCCACCCTCACTCTCCGCCATGGATAGCCTCCGAGCCACTTACAAAGACGAAGAGGATGAAGAAGACGAGGCACCACCTCCGCCACCAACCACCGCCGCAGCCACCGACGCCGAATCACCGGAACCCCCTCCCGCCGCCACCAGTACCCCCTCCGACACCCCGACCGAGCCCCCCAACGACGCCCGATCGGAGCCAGACGACGACCTCTCCGACGACGAGGCCGCCTCCGACGGCTCCAAGAAGTCGCCGAAGTCCGGCCGCGACGAGGGCGACGCCTCCGACGAGGAACCGCCGCCGAAGAAGCAGAAGCCGCTCTCCTCTCTGACGGCGGTGAAGGAGGAATCGCCGTCTCCTGCGCCTCCGGAGGCC